TTTTCCTTGTTCATTTGTGTTTATTTCGATGACCAACATACTGCTTTCATCTCATTGTTATAATTTTTAACTGGAATTTATTCTACGATGTCAAGTCGTCTAGCAGAGGTATCCTGAGATATGAATCATGTTTGGTATAAGAATAAACGACAATATTTGCTTATTACTTTTGCGTCGTTTACAAAAATGAGTTAGACAATATTTACATCAGAAACCGCACGCAGGGGGCATATGTCGCCTTTAGTAACCCCCCTCGAAGCATCTCAAAACCGAGATAAAGTCAACAAAAGCAAAGCTAACGGCTGCTTAGAAAAGCAAACACTGTGCGTCTTTCTTTTATTACGTGTTTCAAACTGAAATAAGCGCGTTTACTTGTAAACCTTGCACCTTTTTACACATAAAAAGCCCTTACCAAACCTTTACTTCTAACAAAGTTGGAGTAACACGTGAATTTCACGGAATGCAAATAAATAATGCCGGGGCGCTTTCATTTCAACCCAGAATTCCAGTTTGAATTTTCGGAAATTTCCAGTGACGACTGCAACAGTTTTTTCCGGTATTTCCTGAAGACAGGACAACCTTGCGAGGTGTACCAAAATTTTTGGACATTTCTTTCCACGAATTTCCGCTCCATTTTACTTTCCCCCTATAATTTCCGGAAATTTCAGTTCAATGGTTCGAAAATTCAACAATTTCCTAATTTTCTGGAAGCCTTCCCAGGAAATTTTCTGACATTAGTCCCTGCTTGGAAATCATAATCATTTCATTTTTGTGCGAATCAGATAAATATATCGAGCGCCTTGAAGATTCACACGCAGCTATAAAAACACTAAACTAGATAAATGATCAAGAGCGCTCGGTTTTACTCAGTTTTACAAGAGTGCAGTGTTCCAGATTTGGTTTTCTGTTAATTTTATAGTCATGATTCATTAAGTCAGATAAAATCTGAGAAATATGATACATTAAAAGTAACTCACCCTTGGTATACCAACGAAAACTCCAGCTAAGTGAAATAAATCTGTATACTGAATATTATAAAATACTAACTATATTAAGCTGAAATTTAATTGCAAAATGTCCCAAATTTACATTTCGCATCTTGGCAACGGCAATTGCTTTTAGAAGAATTACGGAAATGACTTTAATGAGACTAAAATGAATGAACTTTCCTTTTTTCTGACGAGGAAACATCGATGAAGTCTACTTCCTATTTAAGAGTTTGTTCGTTATACAATTTGTCTCGTTCATAATCATTTGTGTTTATTTAGATTATTTTAACACTACTTTTAGTAAATTATTATCATTTCTAAATAGAGTTTTTCCTACGATATTAAGTCTCGAACCAGATGTGTCCTAAGATATAAAACATGGTAAGTAAGGATAAAGGGCATTACAATTATTGGACGGGGCTGAGCTAAATTTTCTGACTTGACAGTGACGAGGAGATCAATTATTTGCTAAAGTCACAGCCAAGCAAATAATTGATCTGCGAGACACTGAGAAGTCAGGAAATCTTGGGATAACCGAGTTCAATAATGATGATGATGATGATGATGATGATAATAATGATAATAATGATAATTATGATAGTAATGATAATAATAATAATGATAATAATAATAATAATAATAATAATTTATCCCTTTCATACTAATTAGTCTCCTTTCTTTGCTTAAATAGTTTTACCCTTTTTTTTGGTTCGCGCCTTCATCCTTAATTATTTTTGTTAACATCTCACTTTGTCATACTATTTATTGCATTTTTCATTTTATTTCTCACTGTACAACTGACGATTGATGATGTCTCATCCAAAACATGTAGTTTAGTACGGAACCATTTGCCTGCTTCTCGTGATTCCATAGCCACATTTATCATCAATAAGAGAACAGACGTATAAAAAACTCAATAGCCAATAGCAAGTTGAAATGCAAATGCAAATGCAAGTTGAAGAAATATTTATTTGCGAATAAAACCAAAGAAAGCGTCACGCTCGATTGCGCCAATTTCGCTACTCGAGGACTATTACTAATAGTCCTCTAGTAGCGTAGCCAATTAAAATGTAGGATTTGCATTAGTCCACTAGTTGGGTGATACTAATTAGGAATATTACTCAATATGTTCAAACAATGTTCTGACATTTTCCAAATCGCTCGGAGTAATCAAAAGTGACTCGATGTACTCGAATATTGCTCGTTCAAATGCTTCGAAACACAGAGGTACTCAATTTGAAATCGCTCTGAGTATTTTTAAGTTACTCCAGCAATAATACTCGATTACTGCTCGCTAAAATACTCCGAGTAAATTGATTTATAGATTCACTTTGGGATTTCTCATAAGTACCCTACTGAATCCACTTTTTCGCTCTATCGGGAACCTCGTTCCCAGGCTCTTGCCTGGGAACGAAGTTGTTTATCGGGTTGAAAAGCATCCTGGGCCTGATTCTCTACTACAGCTGAGCGCCATCTTGGATTAGTGTAGGGAACTCGTTTGCGGAGACTTTGCAAGGGAATTACTGAGTGTTACGAGAGAGAAGAAGGGTGAAGATGCCTGTTAAGGTGAATCCAGCGATCCGGGTACGTTGAAACCTGTAAAATGTCATGCTGAATTTCCCTGTTAAAGGCAACTTCAAATGATCATGACTTTCTCATGCTATGCATATATTCTATGTTCAGCAGCTTAACCTTCCTTGGTTTTAGTCTCGGGGTCCTAGTTTTTGTTGAATGTTATTCAGTTATTTCTGTTAGCTGTGCCTGTTTCAATAAATTGTGTAGTGTGACAGGCTTTACGTGGAACGTAAAGAATTGCCTTCGAAGATCGGACTTGTGATCAATATACTTGGTCCTCAAGTCGATTAGCCCCAAGCCTGTTAGCCCCCAACCAGAAGTCGGTTAGCCCCTCCAAAATAATTGTCTTTTGAACTCAGTAAATACATTTGTTGGCAAGCGTGTTTTTTGATAGAGATAGGTCGTTTATCACCGAGTGCGTTTTATAGAAAAGCGAGATTTTGATATTTATTTTTCATTAAAAAGCTTATAATTTACAACACAGTACTAAAATCGACTTATAATTGGCTACATTTGATTTTTGAGGCTGTGGTCTGAGAAGAATTACAAGGAGCCCAAAAGTTCCAAACCGTGAAATCATGGGTGCCCAGCACTTAAGTTTACATAAAAAAGTAAGTTTTTCCAGTCACCCAAAGGCAAAAGTTAGTCGCCTGTGGCACCCAGGTGTTTCTAGAGCACAACTCTGATTGTGTCTGACTAGAATGAAAACCAGGTAAACTTCAAGTACATGTACTCCTTTTTTGCCCTGTAAAGGTCTCCATGTTGTATTGTTGAAATGGGCTTTTAAAAGTATATAGTCTGCTCAACTATCAAACATTCTGGTTAGTCATGTGACTGAAGAATAATCGGCAGTTTTATTTGGGGGCTTATGGACTCAAGTTTGAATGATGAGCTCTGGTTATCGTTGAGGGCTAACAGGCCTGAGGCTAATCGGCTAGGATGCTAAAGGATTGGATACCAGCTTTAATATAAAACTCAACTTTAGGGTATACATGTATCATGCTGGCGCTTCAATGATGAATAATGATAAGAGATTTAAATCTATACCATATGTATATGTAAAATAGATGCAACATTATTTTTTTATTCCACAGTTTTCAAGATATGCAGCTCTCTTGGTTGGCTTGGCATATGGATACAAAAGAAATGGTAAAGCTACCTTTGTTGTGTAATACTTGTATTACTACTTAGCAGCAGTGGCAATAGAAAGCTGTAAATGAATTTTATTACTTTCAAGGAATTTAAGTTGTGTCTTCTCAAATTTGTCAGACAGGTTTATTTACTTGCAATTTTTGATGCAGTCAAAGCTGACTTACAAGGGCCCACCTTGGATACTTGAATAAGTGGTCATACCTAACATTGGTTGTGTACAAGACTGATTTTCATAAGGGACCACACAATAAAAAATTAACGGCTGATCGCTAACCATGGAGCTTTAGCATAAAGCACTCTACCCTTGTCTCAGGACAACACTTTTTTTCTGGCTGAAGCTAAATCATCGTGCACTTTAAAGTGTATATGACAGATATATGTGTGTATATGTATCTTTTTATTTGCATGATGAAATGTACATGAGATCATGACATGGAAATTGTTTCACGTTATCAGATGGCTAAAGTGCAGGGAGGGAAAAAATGACATTCGGTACATTTCTTTTAGATCTCCATGTCATGATAGAGTAGATTAAAAATAACTGTCACATATAGTTTTACAGTGCAAATCAAGATTGTGGCAATAAATGTGATCAAGTAGTTTCCACTTCGGTTAAAGTGCTGACTAATATTTAATTAGAATCTTTGGGTGGTTGTTTACATGTACAAGAGCTTTAAAAGGCAAAGAAAA